GGGAGCTCCCGTAGCTGCACCCCGCCGTGCGGGAGCGGGTGCTGCGGCTTGAGGCTTCTCCGCGGGAAGCTGCTGCCCGCCACCCCTGCGCAGAGCCCTGCTGTGGGAAAGCGGGACAAAGGCACCTCCGCAAAAGCGCCCCGAAACGCTTTTCTACGGAGCCTTTTGCGTGAGGGCGCAGCCTCCTGTTCCTGGAGTACTCTGTGTATGTATATATGTATATAAAATATACCTTAAAAACTTCATCCATAAGGAAAGCACATGCCTAGCATGCAGAGGTGTGTGACCCCCACACTTCCACAGGTGGAGGAGGACATGGATGTGCACACCTCCTCAAGGAGGATTTCCATGTTCCACCCTGAGCTGCATCCAGGAGGACCTGGCGTAGCGAGTAAGCTGCAGTTGCTCATACCCTGGCTTGGCTGTCCGTCCAATCTCAAATGTTCTTGTATAGCAATACTGCCTTCATTATCCAACACAAACTGTCATCCTGCTGCTGCTCTCACACAACCCTCAGAAGAGGAGGCTATCACTTAGAAACTCCTCAAAACCAAAACCTAGATTGGTTCCTCTCTAAGTTAAGGTCTATATTGCCCTTCTCTTCCACCCAAGCTGGGCAGAGGTAATCACACCTTGCATTTTTTAAGTGAACAACAGCTCAATCCCATGAGTGTTTTGGAGTTTTCCTGAAAAATGCCTATCCTACCAGGTGAGTTTAGTCATGGAGTATGGGCAAGGGAGGTGCTTTTGGTTAGTGAGATTAGGGAGCAGAGTCCATGTGCAAGAGCACTAAGGCAATAACAATGGCACCTGCCGAGCCAGGCAGCGACTGTCCTGCTGACTTAAGATGCTAGTTGTAAAGTCATCTCGTTTATTCTGTACTGTATTCCGATGCCCATAGCCAGTACTGGATCCAGTCTCTAATAGCAGGAAAATATAGGATATGTATTTCCCAGGCAAATTCAAGACTTGTCTGTAGTGGTCAAACTAGTAGTGAAAGCTCCCTAAGTTTCTACTTCAAATATAACTGGAAAGCCAGCTACTGTGCTACCTATGGAAGCCTGAGGAAGCAAAGGCAGGCACGGTGCCCTCCTCTGGCTTCTTCAGCCATGGTTTTGCCTTGGTTTTGCAGCTGTCTGAAGCATGAAACCTCTGATTACAGCTGCTCAAGAGACTGAGGAAAAGAGTTTGAGCCGATTTCCATGCTCTCCTCATGACGGGTATGAGAAATGCAATGCTTCCTGTGCCTGCCCCTGTGCCTGCTGGTGGCAGCCAGGGTGCGAGGACACGTCTGCGGCAGCTCCTCGGGGCAGCTCTGCTGCACGCCGCTTCCTCGCCCTTCTTGTGGATGGGCAAAGGCCACAGAGCTTCCTCACTGCGATAAAGGGCTACTACAGCCATCAGCGAGCTAATGAGTTTTATTAAGGATCGTATCTCATTGACCTGGCACTGACATTTCACTAGTACGCTGCATTGTTCGGTATTCTGCTTCCAGGCACATTTTAATAACATTGCCTTTCTGATAAAGGCTTTTGACTAGATTTATTGTGACTTGAATAAAGTTACTAAATAAGTCATGCAACTTTGAATCATACAGCACTTCATACAGAAAAGCTGTACTAGCAATCTTTCATTAATTTGCCATGAACTTAAATGAAATCAGAGGCTAAGTTGCCTAATCAGAGCCAGAAAACCTGGCTTGTATTCAAGACGGTAGATACAGAAGAATATAGGTAACTTAAATATCTGTGCAGCAGCTCAACCATTCTGAAGTAATTATATTCTTATTAAAATTATTCTGTTATCAAGAATGACAAGTTCAATGACAAGTAGTATAGCAAAGAAATGAAATTCCACTTACAATCTGTAGGATTTTGGAATATGGGTACATTTAATGTATTGTCCCAATGCAACTATTTTTACTTTTATTTTTAGTTTTCTAAAGTAGGGTACATAAAACTCTCCTCTCCTAACATTTCTCTCTCCTCTGCTAACTTTTGAATTTGCTGACCTGTAGCAATCACATTTTATATCAGGTAGAGAATGTTTCATGAAAACAGGCAGTTAACAGAAAAACATATCGTTTGATAACTGACCGAATGAAAGACTTAATACCATGCTAAGTACCACAGAATCTAAACAGGAGAGCAGACTTGGGACATAAATGGTTCAGTTCTGTTAGTCTTCATTCAGAGATCTCACTTCAAGTTCATGGAGCTCATTGCTTCAAAAAATACACCTTTTTTGAAAGCTGCTCATGTACATTTTGAGAAGTTCTGTTGTTTGCTTCATAGCGGAGAGGCTTTTGCAACTATGTGGAGTATTGAGAAATAACACTGCATGCATGTGATTGATTATTAAGTATCAGAGTTACCACCTCCCTATGCAGGGTTTTGTCAGGAAATGCTAGCGGCTGTAGAAAGGAGCAGTTCAGCTTTAACAAGGCTAACAGTCAAAGATAAGGAAAGCTGAACTTACGATAATTAATAATAAACAATTAATAATAAACCATCCACTTTGTAAGTGCTTGCCACCTCCACTTTTAAAAAGTGGCAGAAAGTCCACCTGCCTAGCCATTTAATAACCTTAAAATATGTGCAATGATTATCAGAACAAATGTTCACTACCATAAATATGTGAGGAAGAAAATATATATATATATTTAAGGATGGAAGGGGACCAAACTGGACATAAAAAACACATTTTTTTCCCCAACAATAAAGCAAAACAAAAACAAACAAAACCCCATGGAATTCAGGTAAGCAACTCCTCATTACTCTCTTTGCTAAGAAAGTCTTGCAGCTGAAGCCAGTTGAACAGCAATAACCAAAGAGAGCAGGATTTTTTTTTTTAATATGTTTTACTTCTGTGAATGCACCCTCTACCATGATTATGAGCAGCTGCCTCTGTAAGCATCTTTATTTTCCTAAAGTAGATCCTGTGAAAGGCAAGCCTTCCTGCTTTCGTGGTCCTCTGCAGGAGGATAACTATATAACTAAGCCTTCCTGCAACTGGTGTCTGTGAGGGATCTGAATGTGGAGGGTATGTGCATGTGTTTCACCTCAATTGCTGGCTGGAAAACAGAGTAACACAGAATGAGCATCTTCAGAGTAAAGTGTTTATTTAGCCAGAGAAAAACAAAGATACGAACAGAAAGTAAACCAGAAAACGTGAATAACCATTAAAGTATTGATAATCTTTGGTATTCTGTTTAGCCCATTTAAATATATTTCTGGGTCTGGCACTGGACTGTCCTTTTTGGAGCATGCTGCTTTTCCCTTACAATACAAATTTGTTGACTTTCACTAATGCTCTTTTGAAAGCATCCAGCTAAAGTTACCTCCCTGACTGTTTTTATGCAGTAGCTTGCTTAACACTATTGATCTTAAGTCTAACAGGGAAAAATTCAGGTTGAGCTAGAATGAAATGATAAATATTTTCCCCGCTATTCCCTACGAACTGTTACCTGGGTCATTAGTTTGCCTAGCCTGCTTCATTCCTCTTGTGCCACTCTTTGATCAAACTCCATAGCAATCCAATGGTTACAAAACCACAGATGCTAGATTCCACTTCTCTGATTTTCTAAGGCCATAACCAAAACTGTTCATGATGTACTATTAGAACTGTTCTCCCTGTAAAAATTTATTTCACAGTGCTAAAAGGTAGATTTAAGGGCACAGGTAAAGACACAGAGATACTTCACAACATGCTGGTATAATTGATTTTTCTTTATTTGAAGGAAGAGCATCAATAGCAATATAACAATAACCATCAAAATCAAAGCAAGACCCACTTCAAAATATGTTGGAAAGCCAGCAAAGGATCAGTTATGCCAGACAAAAGGAGGGCATAGGAACACATACATCTCAGACGTGGAAGGAAAGAGAGCAGCAAGTCAGGCATTAGGCTACAGAATAGGCACCAAACACGACGAGGTGTTGGGCTGCATTCTGCAAGTAAATCTTAAAAGTGGGGGCCAAGCTAGTATAGCCAAACAGGCTATTTTAACCTATTTTAATCACTCTGCATATTAAAGCGCATCACTTTTGTAGTCTGTTACTGTGCATATCCTTAGCATACAGAAGAAAGAGCTGCACAGAAACTACTGCAAAAGTGTTTGAACACAGAAGTGACTGCACTTCCAGGGACTGATCTAAGGTATGGAAATGGTGCTGTTATTTTACCATTCCATGATACACCCTCCATAGTAAGACAGGTGCAAGTAAGGCACCTGTCTTACTGCAACAATACCCTATCTCAGTGAAGAAGTCTTCAAAAATGCATCATTTTCTAATGAGCTGGCATTATCTTCAGCTCAACAAATTGTTAATACAAAAATGACAGCCTAAAAGGGCACTAGCAAAAGATTTAGGTTTAATTCAGTACTAGTACTTCTTGAGCCATTATTTTTCTACCTCACGGATTAACGCTTGAAGTGTTTCCACCCAAAACACATGATAATCTGTTTTTAAACATAGCTTCCAATAGAAAAAGATGCACTTCTTTTTTGCCAAAATTCAATGTCAGAACATTAAACTATACTAAAATCATATTCTCAGTATATACCATGATACATCAAAGGCATGCAAATAATCCCTCAGTTTTCCAGTACTTGTAAGGCCTCTTGGATCTAACCATTACAAAACATACATTAATGATTTTGCCTGCTGCTGGCCGAAGTTAATATTCATCTTAGTGGTGAAACTCTGATTTTGTGTAAACAAATTATCCTGAGTTTCAGAATGTCAAACAAGCATAAAAAGGTTCAGGAAATAGCTACATAATTTGTTTTCTCTTTTTGGGAAATTATCTCTCCTTCAAATTTAATACATTTTTTTTGCCTAAGAGTAAAACACACAGTTCGCAAGTGACGTATTTATTTCTGAACTTCCTTGATAAAAGCTGTTTATTCCAGAATATGAAGCAGAGACGATCAGTTTCCTGCCAAAAGAACAGCAACTAAAAATGTCTTGTTTTTCAAAGAAGTTTTCTATTCCTGTCTTCAAATTGTGCTGTGGATACACTGATATATTTGAATATCATGGCCAGATTTGTACAAATTTTTAACCAGTAATTAACTTACTTTTATTGATTACAGTAAGTTTGCATCTCAGTACTATATACTTTTGCTACAGTTGAAGGTTATTTTCAGTCTCTTATTAGACAGTGGGAATTCAGTGTTTCTTTCTATAAACAAACAAATAATTTACAGCATGGATAATTTCAAGAGATACATAGAAAAAATATTGCTTTAGAAACTGCTGCTTTTTAAAAAATGACTTGTCTTTGATTTTATAAAAGCACTGAATTTCTCCAAAAGTTGCAATTCACTGTAGTCCAAAAAACAAAAACACCCCACATGATTATAATGATTACACTTAGATTCATGTCAGTTATAACTACGATTTCCTACTTCATAGTTACCACCTCCTATTTTTCTACGTAGATCTTGCTCTGAGCTCTTCTGATTTTTTCCAGGTCTTCAAAAGTAAGCGGTCCTTTTGGCAGTTCTAGCAAAGTACTTTGTGTCTCCAGTATGTTCTCTGCTTCACCTTAAAAATTATTGTGAGAAAGCATATGGAAAAGAATTTAAAACATTAATTTTTTTTTTTTTTTGAAGGCGAGAATAACTAAATACTAGGTCACAGATATGTATTTTACAAACAGGCTGATGTCATCCGGTACTAAGTTTGTCTTTAAGAGATATTGGACCTGTGGTGTAACTGCATGCAAAACCATGTTTGGTCTGAAACAGATACCTTGTCAAATGAATTCAGGCTGAGCAATATTTCAGCCAAACCAATATTGTTGTTGTTGTTGTTGCTGCTATTTCTGAAAGACCCTTTTTCTTACAAGCCAGACCGAATTGTATTTCTTTTAGAAGTGTGTTACACAAATGCATTGAAATGGCAGTCAGAGGTTGCCAGAGCAAGGTCTTTGCATCAGGATGAAGTTCATACCTGTCCCGTAAAATATGTGACCAATTAGGAAAGTCCGGGAAAAGAGTTGATCACAAACACACATTGAAGAGTACATAAACCTTAATTCCCTATATATACTATCATCCTACATATGGTATACATGCCATCCTATATATGCCATAGTTTGTCACAACTTTTCTTCTTGTTTCAGCCCTAGGTTGAAAGATGTTAGGCTACAGAAAAAGAATGGACAGCAAGAGACCTGAAGCTTACACAAAGGCTTGCAAAGACAAACATGCAGTCTTTACAGCATGGCAGCAAAAATTTATATGGTGCAAAATGATTCAGATAAGGCTGGAATGAAAACAACAAGGACAAACCATCCAAAAAACAGAGATACAGCTTGAATGTATTATATAAGTTGTGGCGGTCTGATTGTTGACATAAGATAGGATAAAGATTAGGCAAAGAGTGCGAGGATTTTGGCTTATGCCATTTGGTGCTATGCCAACAAAGGTCCCAGGTACCTAAGCCTCAGCTCCAGTTTTAATGATAACTCGGGCAAAAGCGCTGACACACTGTTCATGTGCAATAACCTGCCTGAATATTGTCATGCAGCCAGGACTATGGCCATTCTTTGAAGCACATCTGATTGCTGCCATTTCAGCTGCAGTACATCCCATAGCACTGCAGTACTTGGAGACCCAGTTATTGATAACACCACAATGTTGGGCGGTTACATAGGACATCAGATTATGGGACAGCAAGATAACTTCTGTGACAGAGAGATGTCACAGAGGCAGCCAAATCTCTGTGTGCCTATCTAATATACTCGCAGATACTTCTCCAGTCACCACCACTCCCCTCAGAGGGCTCAGGCTGTTTCTAAATCTTGGAGCAGGCAGTCAGTTTCACTACTTAGCTGAGAAGTTCTGTGCATTTGGAACCTGCTTATTGTGTGTTCAGGAAGGGTCAGCAGTGTATACCTGGAACAGGAAGACAAGCTCAACCGGAAGGCCCAGAACCAGACAGTAGCTCCATGACTACAAGTTACTAGCACTGGACAATTTGTTTATTCTTAGTGCCTCAGCTATTCAGAAAAGCAGCTGTATATGCCCTCATATGTCAATATGAAAGAATAAGAAAGTCATGGGGAAATACTGCACAAGCAGACTGGAGATAAAAGTTTAATTTGGGCAAGATCAGAGACAAATTGTTGAAACAGAAATGGAGCAGCTTTCTAGAGTTACGGACTGCTTCCAAAGGATGAAGAAGACAGAACTGTTTGAGCAAGGTAGCTCAGATGCAAAGCCTTGGAGCAAGGACTGTGAAGAGAGACTGTGACTGGCCTCTTCCCTCCCATATGCCTAGGGTCTACAGCTTCATCATTACAAAATGGAACAGACAAGCAAGTAGAGGAGTGGTTGACAACAGAACATAGGAGTGGACACAGATCAACCGAGTAATGAAAACAAGGATTGCCGGAGTACGTTCGTTGTCCCAAAAATCCTTCTCTTCAACTCGCTAATATTTATCTTAAAATAAAGATGTAACCCAAACCTCACTTCCACATGATCACAAGCTTCTGCGGATTTCCAACCTAGACTTACTCAAATTAGTTAATTCCCAATTATTCTAGTGCTGATATTGAGAGCTTAATATAATAAACTTCCTTATTTTCCTTGCTGTATGTTATTTTCCTTCCTTATTTTCCTGTGTTGTAAGTAGGATATGGAGATGCAAATCCATGTTGTCTTTTTAGAAGGCTGAACAACCTGACCTTTTAGCTTTGTCTCACAAAGCAAGTCCAGAATTCTCTGCTAATTCTTCAGCTATCTTAGATTTCTAACACCGAACTAGCTGAAATTATCTAAAACTCCAAGAGTTTTACCTTTTTTCTCAATTGGTAATTTCTATCTGTACTAGAAATCCTCACCTGATGACCCCGGACTTCACTTGTCTCTCTTCTGATATCATCACAGTACTGGATGAAACTCATTCTGTGATCAGTTAATATACCTGGGTTTTTCTCTTTTTCTGTCATTTCCAGATAGTGAGTTCTAATGGTAGAAAACGTTATTAGTCTCTAGTTTTTTGCTGTTCTTAACAAATTGCATCCTACCTTATTATCCCAGCTCTTTAATTCATCAGTTCTTTTACTACATTTTATTCCTTATCTGCTGACGAAACCAATCAAGTTTGTGAATATATTATACAAATAAAGTTTGAGAAGGACAATCTCAAATACAAAACCAACTGATTCAGGCAAAATCTTGGGGAAAATAATCCCACTAATAGGCCCGCTAACTTTCCCATTTAAGCACAACTCTCTGACATCTCTATCCCAGTGCTTATTACTCTTCCACTAATCCCCATGTCCTTCATGCCACCTTAAAATTCACGCAATACCACATTATATGTTTTCATGAGTTCAGAGTAGATCTGTTCACAGTACATTCCTTTTTGAAAAGGAAACTGATTTTCCAAGGAAAAAAAATAACACTGTTAGTCTGGCTTGCTTTTCCTTTATATATTATCATTAGTTTGGCTCCATACTTTTTCATAATAAGCCTTGTATATTGCTGGAGCTGTCCAAGGGGATATCTGAACTATAAAGATCATTTTCCCTTATAGCTTTCCAAATTCACATACCACCTTACTCACTGTCAAGCTATACAGGACCACATTCTTCTCTTAAAATCCATTAAACAGCATTCCATATTTTTATCATCAGGTCTGAACTATCTTATGTCTACTTTTTAAAAATTCTGGAACAAAAACTACCTCATTCAAAAAAAACACACACAAAACCAAGGCAAAACAAAAACAACAACACCAGAAATTCCTTGATTGTGTTCAGCTCCTTTTTAAAACTAATTACCATGAGTCATCCAGTCTTTGTCCTTGTACTTGGCTGTGTCTTCATATTAAAAACTTAAGGAGAAGTACTCAGTGGGGTTTAAGAGTGTTCATAAATGCTCACAGATATATGTTGGTGAATGTTTGCACCCATTTACAACGGGAAGTATCTCAAAGTTTGTCCAGTTATGTCTGGCATTATTCTCAAAGCGCACACAGTTATGAAATCTAGTTCTTAAAACTTCAGCCTAAATTAAAGAGCTGAAACAAAATTTTAGTTTCAGTATTTTCTGTGTTTTGTTCAGAAACAGACTGCAAAGTCAACCTACTTAACTAAAGATTTAAGAAGGTGATAAGTCATGTTTTTTTTTTCCAATCAGGAGACGTAAGATGAGCATTCTCTCAGCATGCCTCCTTCACTAGGAATCAGAATGAATGCACATGAAGCTGTCAGATTTTCCACAGTTCTCAACACTGATCACTTAAAGAGGTCTACTGTTGGCAACTATGTGGCAAGATCTCGCTTTCTGGGACTCACCTTCCTCATCTATCCTCATCCTGTCAAGATGATCAGCTGAGGACTCTGGCAGCCATGTAAGTGGCATGATTCCTGCTCATTATCCCTCTAACTGCTCTCACCATCCTCACCCCCTGCCAAAACATCAGCATGTGAAACAGGCTGTATTTATTTCAGCTGTATTTATAATGTGAATTCTAAGAGAATCAAGAGAGGAGAAATCAACCCACTCTCTGAACCAGAGGGAAATGCTGTAAAAGTAGAGCAAGTATTTTTAACTGGGAAAATATCTGACTGTAACAAAAAGGAAAAAAATATAGGAGTGAGATTGAAAAAAAGAAGCTGATGCAAAATCTCTCTCAGCCATTCTAAAAAGATGTGAGATTGTCTAATATATTAACCTTGGATTTATGTGCAAAACAGACAGAATTCCATATACTTACCTTTCATCCTTTTCAACATTGTCCCATACCCCATATCATATTGATAGGCAAGTATAAAACTTAAGGGAACTATTGGCAGTAGAACTGCTGGGTTCTTCCTTTTTATTGCTCTGTTTTTTTAAAAAAAAGAACAAGAGAAAAATAAGATTATTTAGGGCATTCAGATGTCAGTACTCTCAGTGCAAGGTGACCTTGATTTTTCTATGACTTTTATATCCTCCACTCTTTAATCAGTCACGCAACTCTTAACTTCTTCAGAAGCACTAAATTTGTTTCTGGGCAGATAATCTCAATCTACTATCAGACAAGGGAATTAAATGAAATACTTCACATGAGTTTTTAATGTACTTAACAAGAAATAGGTTTGTCTAACTAGTATTTCATGCATATTCACAAGAACATAACCATGCTGAACTGTAATCAAGATTACAGCCACATGCAGCATGCAGCAATCATGTTATGACGAGTAATCGCAAATGCATCCCAGTATGCAGAGAATGCATAAGGTGAATTTAATCTCCACTTGTTGAAGAGAAATAAAAACACTCCCTCTAATCAGTTTACAGCACTAGCAAACCATGCTGCCTAAACCAACCAACAGTCCTATAAGGAAAGTTGCTTCTCGTCCAATTCAATTTTATTAGTCATATTTTTTCCTAACACAAATTTATGAGTTTTCAAATTGCAGGCAAACAGATGTCAAAATATATCTGCCTGTTCAGTGAAATACTTAAAAAAGTATGACAGCGGAAAAAGTGTGACAGAGGATTTGTAGTTAATGAAAAGTGTATTAAATCATAACACAGACAAGAAGGTAGTATGGCTTTAAAATAATCCCTCCTGCTTCACATAGAACTTCAGAACTTTTGCTTTATGTTATTTTTGGCATTTCAGCTAAATTATTTTATTTCCAGCTCACATCTCTGCTTTTATAACAGTACAGACATACCCAAAACACATCTAGAATTAGACAGAAATGAACTGAATCATTTTGTCATTGGAGCACCCTCTGAGAAATTACTGGATAAAAATAACTACCTCATAAAATGCAAGAGGATGAGACAAAACTATAGAAATATATTTGTAAGGTATCTATTTAAACATTCTCTTAGGAAATAAATTTCATACCCTGTTGTTAAACCAACAGCAGCAAGTCCAAAGAAAGCCCCAAAGTATTTCAGAAATTCCCGTGTCCAAGCAATCTGCATGGCTGCTTGTCTCTCTCTCATCTGATTTTGCATCAGTAATTGTCTTTCCAGCTAGAGAAGGAAGAAACATTAAGCAAAATTAACTCATCCATTTATTTTGGAGTCTGAAACAATTTCACACTGGTCTACTAACCCAGAATCATAAGAAAGGTTTCCTTTTTGTTCTTTTACTTCAATCATTCATAAGTTATGACTGAGAATGATCTTAGTCAGTAATAACTCGTATTAATGAAGAACAGTTTATACCAAGAGTGTGAGGTCATTGAAAACTGCTTGACTACACAATCTTATGCTGCTTCTGTTAAGCAAGGAAAACCAAAATACCAGTGATAGGTTTCAAGAAATCCAAGTTTCAACAGTACTTCACAGGTTAAAGTTTTCTTATCTTTGCATTTCCATGCTGATCCTTAGAGTACCACCCGGCTGTACAGAATACCTTCCACTTTATTCTACTTTAATGTAATTTAGATACTATCTTTAGAGTCATCCTTAACTTTTTTTTTGCCCTTTGAGGATTTCTTTTCTCCTTTATGATGCATTATAAAGCTAATAACTGTTGGAGACAAGCACAGTGTATGAATACAGGCAAATACAATGAACAGTCTGTCAAGATATCAGATCTTAAAGATACTGGAATACATCTCAATTTTATATGGGAAAAAAAAATCTGCAATTAACAGTAATAATTCAAGGAGTACAATCTGGACAATGTATTCACACACCCAAGCAGAATTGTCTTTGGTGTAGTAGAATAAAAAAGTAGAGTATCAGATTTCTTATTACACAGCCTATGCTTCTCAACACATCCCATATTCATTAAATAATGGAAAATTGGTTATTTCTTACCAGTTCTTCTCTACAATACAAAACACCAGGAAATGTCTTTTCTCCTTATCGTGCTGTGTAATGCTGTGTCAAAACTAAGCAGTGCATAATCACAGCATAGCAGTTAACACAGTTCAAAATCTGCTTCTTCCACTGATGTTTGTAATTCAATTTGGAAAAAAAAAACAAAGCAAAAACAAACAAACAAAAAACAGAAAAGAAAAATCAGAGTACTTGATTTGGTATATTTAGCATCATCTTAGCTAAGCGGGGTTGCATAAAAAGCCCAAGAAAGTGGGCTTTTTAATGCCCGGCTGCATTTAAAAAAAAAAAAAAAAAAGTGAAAAGGTGTATTCTAGAAAAGACAGAACAAAGAGAAGACTAGGAAAGTTCTCTTGTCATGCAACTATGAAGTAAATAATTAAATCTACTCCTTTCCCCTGTTTTCTAATTCAGGAATAATTTAAAGCACTTGTAATTACTTATGGTTTCCACCCATTTATTCATCTCCATTACTATTGATTTAGGCCGAACAGAACAATTTCTGTTAAATTATTACTAATTATTTCTTCAGACTATGTTGATCTTGCTATCTTATTTACAAGCTCATTCAGTACCTAGATAGGTAGAATTAATTTTTTAGACAACATAATAAAAAAAGGACAGATCTAATTACATATAATTGCACACAGTAGGAAAAACAACATTCACAGTAGTCCCACAATACTGTTTCATCTGTTTCTGTTTCCTCAAAACTTACACCTTAATTGTTGTTCTTACAAAAATATCACTAGCAGCATCTAGTTTTCTGATGTCTATAATTTTCATATAACCTTTTTTTTTTAATAAGAAATAATTATGTAGTGGCTGACAAACCACTTAATAAAATATCAAAATAATTAGATTTCATTTTGTCACCTATGAGGCACTTGAATTTCTAAAGTAGGCATGCATGCTACCCGTTAATTAGCCTCATTGTAGTCCCAGTACCCCAAGCCTGGTAAATTGCTGAGCGTTGATGTGACAAGATAACATAATTACATGTAATTCTAATTTAATGACTTTTATTTTCTCCTTCAATTTGATTACGTGTGTAGTTTGCACATACATGTGAAAAGTATTTAGGGACCTTTTGTTTGCCTGAGGACAGATAAGGACTATATGCTTCTGAGATAGACAGCAGTATCCTAAGTACATTGGGAAGAAGAGGGACCAGGATAAGCTGATGAAATACAGGCTTGAAAACGGAAATCTTCTGGAAAAAGAAAAGAGCAGACAGTTTGATATACACAAATAGAGAATATAAGAAAGCACCCACAGGGGAAAAAAAAAAAGAAAAAAAAAAAAAGAAAAAGAAAAAGGAGCCGAAATCTACAAAAGTAACTGAAGGACCTTAACATGGCTGCTAAAACATCTAAAATATATATGTACGTCCCAAGTGCTGAAAGGAAAAGAAAAAACAAAAGGCAAAACCCATGACACAGATGCTAACTAAACTTAAATGAATCCCTCTACATGGGAGCCCATCATATCACATTTCAGAAGCTCAAGGTTACTTCTGTGTGTATCTACAAGTAGCTTATATAAATAACTTAGTATCAATGGAAAGACCTTGTTTTGCATGTTGAAAACATTGCCACTAACATATTTTCATATTCTCTCCTAATCAGAGAAAACTTTTCCACTTAAACTCTGAACCTGTTAAAGCATTTCAATATCCAAAAACACAGAAAAAAATCTACACAAGGACCTCTCATAATTCTCTGATTTTGAGCAAATTTATTCAATGTGCATACAACTACTTATCTAGAAGGTACAGAATAGTGTATTTAACATTTCTTAAAAAAATAAGGTGAGTAGGGAAGACTAATGAATCGTGGAGACAAACACTTAATGTGCATGTGGGGAAATGTGGCAAAATCAGCAACAGCTTGCTCAGAGGAAGCTTAATTCACAGAAGACACTTAAAAATAGATCTAGTGACAATTACTTACATTTATTTTTAATTCTTCCTATTATATAAGTTGCGCAATGTTATAATGAAGCATTATTTTCAGAAAACATATTATTGTACTTACACTTGCAATTTTACATCAAGAAAATACCTAGAAATTTTTAGCTACAGTAAGTACTCTAAACTATTGCTTCAAAATATTTGCCTTTTTAAAATCAATTCTTATTTAGTGACAGATGGAGAGTAACATGTATGAAGAACAAAAATATCTTTTTAAAATCTATGCAGTCTCACACTGAACCCGAGAGCACCTGTCCCAAATGCCAAATTCTTTTTAGGTGCTTCCTACCATTCCACGTTCTGAAAACCTTCAGCTTTGCCTTTCATTTCTTTCACATAAAATTCAGTTACAACAGTTGGTGTAGCTTGATCTCCCAAAACGCCAAAAGAAACACCTCAGTGGTGGGACTGTAATAAGACTGTCTGCCTAATGGAGAGATTGAGCAGCCCCCCCAGATCATGAATACCAGGCCAAGTGCAAGGTGGCTTCACTGGGTTTCAGTCTTTCCTTAGGAAGAAACATAAGAAACTATTCATCAGAAAGAATCGAGCCAAAACAGTCATTGCTGGATTTGCCCCTGGGCATACTTCATTATACAACTTAACAAAATCATTCTGGGGGAGGATGGGGCGAGGAGAATTGCTTTGTTATTTTCTGAGAACATTCTAGCAACTGAGCTACTGAATAACAGGTTGATGCTGCCATCGTGTTCCCGACATGGACTCCGAGAACGTGTGCTTAGCGCAGCACAGAAAGCCCAACTGGCAACCACAGAGAGGCTGAAGACAGGACACCTCCCTGCTCTGTGTCTCAGTATCTGATCATCTAGACAAGTTTCATCAGCAGTGCTCAACACCAAAACAGTATAAGCATCTAAATGAATTCTGGAAGATGGAAGTTATGAATTTACAAGCCTACAAGAAGAGCTAAGCAGTTCCTTTGTATATCTTTCTTTAGGAGATTAAGGCATAAAACCTTTGTGATTACCCATCTAACACATTGATCTGAATGAAGTATCTGTAGATCACACAGTTTTCAAAGACTAGAATAGCTTAAGACTCCCAATCACACATTGCCACATTGCACTCTACAAAGTTAATTGCAGAGCGTAAGATCAAACCATTACAATAAGATCACTCTAATTAACCTTAAACAAGCCTGGATTTGATAGCAAATCTATATATGGAAAGTCTCAACAGTCCAGCACAACAGATAATTTTAAATTAGATGAAAAATACAAAAACAAGTATGTTTGACAGCAGTTTTTAATCAATATCCCACTTTCAGCCATTAATTTTGTAGCAATTGTGTTTTATTTTCTTTCACACATGTTCTATTGCAAATGCCAGTTGCACTCAGCAATCAAAGGGTGGAGAAGAGTCCTGGCCTATTAACATGTAGCTTGTAAGAAAAAGGCCAAGTCCTGTTGCCTTAGGATTTACTCTGCAATAATAAGTTTTGTTAAGATGATTTTTTTATGATAAATTAGAAGCAAAAAATAATAAAAGTATAATTTCACTACAAAAATACCTTCACATGCAGAACTTCATAGATGACAGGATCACAAAAGCAGATGCATGATGTAGCTTATTTAGAAAAAAAATCACTGAAGTGAAAAGCTGATTACTGAGGAAGCAAGACACATATCAATATGATATCTGCATATCACATATAATATCATATATCTATTATCAGATATCATACAATAAGTGAAGTGACATGCCTCAGGGAACAAATTCAGTTTCATTTTAAATTCATAGGTCTCTCATGCATATACCTCATTTCAGGAGGAACTATCTACATTACTAAGCTTACTTTAACCTACAGTTAAAGTGCCTTCCCAGGCTTACCAGGGAAGAAGGGACGTGTCATAGTTCTCCCAGTCATGTTGTTCCACATGGGACAAGAGTGTGAATGGAAGTGATTATGTGGATGCACAGGTAAACATCCAAATACACAAACCATTGATAAATTAAGTCCTTTGACAATCTGAAAATCCTTTAAACCACAAAAGCAAGTGTAATTATTATTATGTAAAAAAGCTACATTACAAATTTTGCCTAGTTTAATTCCATAACAGTTTCTTATATCAGAGCACTAAGTTCTTTACTAGTGTTAAGTATTGTGTCATTTTCAAATTTAAGCTTAATATTAAAAAAATACTAGTAGCAAATAACATCTGATATTTTACACTCAAAGGGACTCAATTAG